AGCCAGGAAACTCCAGAGAGTTAAATTGATTTAAAAGTGGAGGTGAAGGTGGAGTGCTATTGCTACCTTCTTAGGTTATTTTTGGCAAAGGGATGTTTACACAATTTGACCTTTGCTTGAAATGTCACAGTGACATTGAGCTCTGACATCCAAAGTGGGAAGGCAAGCTTCCAGCTAGTAGGTGTAGCTTGTAGTTGTGTCCTATTTGGGGAATCATACTTGAAGCTGTCATAGCTGGCTTCAGTTGTCAACCTGGTACAGACCCAGATACACCCAGAGAGAGGGACTCTCAGTTGAGGAATTACCACTGTCAGACTGACCTGTGGGCATGTCTATGGGGGCATTTTCTTGGTTGCTCACGGCTGTAGGAGGGTCCAGCCTATCATGGTCAGTGCCACCCTGGGCATATGGGTCTGGGTTTTATAAGAAAGGTAGTTGAACATGAGTCTGGGAGCAAGCCGACAAGCTGAGTTCCTCCGCAGTTCCTGCCTCTGCCCTTGCTTGAGTGTCGGCCCTGACTTTTCTCAATGGTGGCTTGTGGTTGGGAAGTATAAGCCAAACAAACCCTTTCCTCTCCACATTGTTTTTGGGAATGGTGTTTATCATAGCAACAGAAACCAAACTAGGACACCAATCAAAGACAAGGAAAGGAACAAAGACGACGAGAAAAGTATACTCATGGCAACTGAAGTCTGGTGGGAGGAGCTATGCAGAGTTAGCGGATCAAAGGGAAAATACACAGGAGAGTTGTAGAGTGACTTTGAAGTGTTTAGACAGAAGCAGGTACAGTAACCATACCAATTATTTACGGCCCTAAGGAGGACTACCAGACTGGGTGTGTGAACTTAAAGGGTGGCAGATTTTGTTTTTAGCTCACCTTAAGAAGTTGGTAACAGTCAGACAAGAGCCCTGTCAGAATGTACTGCATTGGGAAATGCATGAGATGGTCTTCACATATGCTGCAGAGTTCAAGAGTGTTGAAGACTGAAATAGCATCTTTTGGATGTTTGTTGCGGGGCAGGGGCTGCATCTCTGCAGCATGATGCTTGTCTAGTATGCATGAGGCCCTGGTTCAGTTGACCTGAAGAACCTCGTTTTTAACCTTCTGATCCCTGAGTGGCTATACTTATATTGCATAGGAGTCACAGAGGTCCCTGTGATCCCAGATAAGCACTAGGGAACTGGGAATGCTAACTATACAGCCTTGTTATCTTAAAGGAAGGGATACATAACCTGTTGTCTGCCCAGAAGGCTGGGGGCAGACGTAGTTAATAGCTTGGTGGCTTTCATACTAGCCAGGGATCACACTTGATCCATCCCCAGACCCTTTATTGTAAGCTTATTTTTCTCAATCAATCTATGGAACTCATTTTTATTGAGTTATTACTTGTAGTCAATCTGTAGACTCCATTTTATTTTTTTCATGTTGTTTTTTTTTTGGTTTTTATGAGACAGGGTTTCTCTGTATTGTTTTGGAGGCTGTCGGTCCAGCCCGGCCTCAAACTCACAGAGATTCACCTGCCTATGACTCCTGAGTGCTGGGATTAAAGGCGTCATGTTTTTTTTAAACTAAATTTATTAATTTATTTTATAACCCAACCAAAGTCTCTCCTTCCTCCTCTCCTTGCACTCCCTCCCTCCACCTTCCACCCATACACCCCTTCTCCATATCCATTCAGAAAGGGACAGAGGCCTCTAGGGCATCAGCAAACATGACATATCAAGCTGCTGTAAGACCAAGCATCTCCCCCTGTATTCAGGCTGGGCAAGTCAATCCAGAATGATAAATGGGTTCCCAAGAGCCAGGCAAAGCCAGGGACAGCCCATTACCAGGAGTCCCACAAGTAGACCAAGCTACATAAATATCGCAAATGTGCAGAGGTCCCATGCAGGCTCCCTGGTTGTTGGTTAAGACTCTGTGGAGTTCCCAGGAGCCAGGCTAACTGGTTCTGTTGGATTTCCTGTGATGTCCCTGATGCCCCTGGCTACTGCAATCCCTCCTCCCTCACCTGAGCAGGACTCCTTGAGCTGTTCCCAAACATGGGTCACTGAAGCTGCCTCCATCAGTGGCTGGATGAAGGCTCTCTGATGACAAGCAGAATAGTTACCAATTTGATCACAGGGGATGGCCAGTTCAGGCTATGCACCCACTGCTACCAGGAGTTTTAGCTGGGGCCATTCTTGTAGACTCATGGGCATTTCCCTTGCATCAGGCTAGAATCCATCTTTATGGAAGGTGTCACATATATTTTACAAAGAGTTTCAATGTCTGATCCTTTTTTGGATTTCTTTGTGCTTTATTGTGCATACAGAATTGAGATAATATCACCAGGAAAGTTTTCATCAAATTGTGCTGTGCTTAAATAGGCCTAAAATAAACTACCCAGGGTCACACTATTGAAGTTTGAACCAACACCAGCTATTTAGTTGCATTGAACTAAACAAACTTCTCACTTCCCACAGAATGTTACCGTGTCGGCCATCATAGTTGCAGAGACCCCTACATTGTTCTAAAAGACCCCATCAGTGAAGGATGGCACTTGATCAAATTTACCACCATAATAAAAGCTATTTCTTTTTTCCCTCAATATGTGTTTTTATTTAAATGAGAAACATGAATGCTTCACATGTCAATCCCAGCTCCCTCTCCCACCCCTCCTCCCATGTCCCTCCACCAGCCCTCCCAACCCCCACCCAATCCCTACATCATTCCCCAGGGAGGGTGAGACCCTCCTTGGGGGGGAATCTCTAAAGTCTGTCATTTCATCCAGGGCAGGACCTAGGCCCTTCCCCATGTGTCCAGGCTGAGAAAGCATCCCTCCATGTAGAATGGGCTCCCAAAGCTTATTCATAAACCATGGTAAACACTGATCTACTACCCAAGGCCCCAGTGATTCCTGTGGTCTCCTCCCTGGCACTACATTCATGGAGTCTGGATCAGTCCCCTGTTGGCCTCTTAGTCCTCAGTCTGAGATTCAAGAGTTCCCCCTTGTCTGGTCAGCTGTCTTTGTGGGTTTCACCTTCATGGTCTTGACCCCTTTGCTCATGACTCCTCCATCTCTGTCACTAGGTTCCAGGAGTTCAGTTCAGTGTTTAGCTGTGGGTATCTGTCTCTGTTTCCATCAGTCCCTGGATGAAGGTTCTAGGATGGCATATAGGGTAGTCATCATCCGTATCATCAAGGAGGGGTTATTAATGTAGTCTCTCCACTATTGCTTAGTTTGGTGTTATCCTTGTAGATCTCTGAAATTCTCACTGGTGTCAGCTCTTTCCTCAAGCCTATAATGACTCCATCTATTATGGTATTTCTCATCTTGCTCTCCTCTGTTCTTTCCCCGATTCAACCTTCCTACTCCCCCATGCCTTCTCCCCTTCTCTTTTTTTTCTTTTTTTGGTTTTATGAGACAGGGTTTCTCTGTATTGTTTTGGAGGCTATCGGTCCAGCCCAGCCTCGAACTCGCAGAGATCTACCTGCCTCTGCCTCCTGAGTGCTGGGATTAAAGGCGTGCGCTACCACCGCCCGGCCCTTCTCCCCTTCTCTTATCCCCCTCACTTTTCCCTGTTTCCCTCTCCCCTCCCCCAATGTTCCAAATCTGCTCATGAGATATTGCCTCATTCCACTTCTCTGGGGTATCATGCATCTCTCTTGGAATCCTTCCTGTTTCCCAGACTCCCTGGCACTGGGATTGTAGGCTGACACTCCCCTGATCCATATCTAAAATGCATATATGAGTGAGTACATACCATGTTTGTCTTTTTGTGTCTGGGTTACCTCACTCAGGATGGTTTCCTCTAGTGCCTTCCATTTGCCTACAAATTTCAAGATTCCATTTTTTTCCGCTGAGTAGTACTCCATTGTATAAATAAATGTACCACATAAAAACCATTTCTTAATGTATATACTTTATCCCACAAAAATAACTTCAAAATATCCTTCATAGCCTTGAAGATAGATAGAGGACCATCCCAATAAGGATTTAATTTACACTTCAGAATTTATTCATTTGAATTAAGGGCTTTGTAGCATGATAAATGAAAAACCAGAGACTGATACTGGGCTTCAAGCTACAAGTTGAAGATCAGAGAAGCAAAGCAGTTGGTTGCTAGCTCTTCCGTCTACCTCAGCTCAGACTACAGGTGTGATCATCCTCAGACTGCTCCTGACTTCAATGCTCCTCATGTTCACTCAGATTGCTATGCTCAGCTCAACATGGCTAGAAACTACTCTCAGACGGAATGCCTCTACTTTTTATACCTCTTCAATCCTGGGATTAAAGGTGTGAGCTCTGATTCACCTTTGGTAGCCCAGGGTGGTCTTGTACTCAGAGATCCATCTGCCTTTCTCCTGAGTCCTGGGACTAAAGGTGTGTATCACCACCACCTTGATCTCTATAGCTTGAGGCTGGCTTTGGTTTCTGAATCCTCAGGCAAGCTTTAATGAATCATGAATAATCTATCACCACAGGATTTTGAAGACCTTGAAAGGCAGCTTGAAGACTACTCCAGTGTTCTTTTCTTAACACTGGAATATTTTTTTTTTTGGTTTTTATGAGACAGGGTTTCTCTGTATTGTTTCGGAGGCTATTGGTCCAGCCCGGCCTCGAACTCACAGAGATCTATCTGCCTCTGCCTCCCGAGTGCTGGGATTAAAGGCGTGCGCCACAACCGCCCGGCTACACTGGAATATTTTTACTGACCCTCTTTTTCTGCTTCTTTATATGTTTGCTTCCACAATCACTGTAGGTCAAAGGCTTCCAAATGGTCATTTCAGTGAATGAATAAACTAGATAAAGAACTCACAGGCTTTTAGTGATTAAATCATCATTATTATTTTGTGTAATGTCTTTTACTCTTTTCTGCTTCCAGGTTGATGTTTGAGAACATGTCATTTTTGAGGGAGATGCAACCCAGGGCTTTGTGTATGCTTGGGGAGAACTCAGCCCCCGCGCTGCAACCCAGCCCCTGCCCCTTGTCAGTACTTCTTGCTCTACCCTGACAAGGACATCATCTCTCCCTCAGTCTTCTCTTTGGATACAATCCAAGCGTTGGTTGTGGACTGGTATTTCTCAAGCATGGTGTCAACTTTGCTCTACCCTGACAAGGATGCCATCTCTCCCTCAGTCTTCTCTTTGGATACAATCCAAGCATTGGTTGTGGACTGGTATTTCTCAAGCATGGCGTCAACTGCAGTAGCTGTCTTCTCAGGGAGTCTCAATTGTCCTCATTGTTGCCACTTTCTTCCCAGGTTATACAGGACTCAGGAGGATCGTGAGTACTTTCCAGCAGTCCTCAGGCATGTTAGTGGACATCTATTTTCAGAGTTTCATTTTCAATCTGGTTTATTTGCTCTGAAGATGGAATGCTTTCCTACCCCATGACTTCCTGTGCAATCTCCCTTCCACATGAGAGAGAAAGGGCTATGTCCCTCATCATGAGGTGTTTAAAAGTAGAGCAGCTTAAATATAATAATCTTCTTATTGATAAGATCACATTTTAATCCCACCTTTTATGAAGTTAAGGTTGGTCTAATTGAGTTGTTGAATAGTAGTTGAAAATAATATTTGATGACTGATCTTTGCAATTTTGACATATAACTCAGGATCTGTTTAAGGAACTGGGTGATATTTCTTTGTGAAAAAGATTTGGTTTATTTTTAATATTGTGTGTGTGTGTGTGTGTGTGTGTGTGTGTGTGTATTCACTTGTGAATGCCATTGACCTCAGAGTCCAGAATAGGCCATTGGATCTCCTGGAGCTGGAGTTACAGGTAGTTTTGAACCACCTCACCTAGGTTCTGGGACCATATACAGGTCCTCTGGGAAAGCAGTGCCCATTCTTAATCGCTGAACTATCTCTCCAGTCCCATGAATAATACTTTTTGTAACAGAACTCTTGGGTACGTATATACATGGCATTTGTAAAATTGTCCAAGACAGTGGCATAGTGAGCATTGTCTAACAATTATGGAAATTAAATCATAACTTGATCACATGCAAAGATGGCTTCTATCAGTTTCTTCCATTCCTGTGCACACATGTGCCACTTCCTTTAGTCTTGACTGAGTTTGTATCTTGCTGTTGCCGCCAGAAAGGGGAAAACAGGAGGTATATGGTCTACAGAATTCTGGCAGCTTCTACTATGTCACCAAATCCCTGAGCTACGTGAGGTAAGGAAGTCCAGTTACTCCAAATCTAGTCTGCTTTGCTCATATTGGATATTGCAAGAAGATGAACAAAGTTTCCTTCTGCCTGGGATAGTTTCCATTCTGTGCTTGAGATTTTCATATTTAATTCAGAATAAATATAATGACTTTTTCAGGATCCAACATTGTTTCCTGAACTGACATTGAGGCCTTGCTTTTTAAATTTCCCAACCAAAATAATTTCCTCCTTGTTATGTGACTGCAAGCCTAATACTAGACAGATTAACTACATTCTTTCCATTGATTACATGTTTTCTTCTAACCAAGATTCCATGAGCTGGAAAAAAATGAATTTTTACCAACTAATTCACCAGCTGGTATTCAATGATCTGTTGGTCACATGTTATTCTGTAATAAGTTCTTTCATATTGATATATTTAATGATGGGGGAAAACTAGGCTAATTGAACCAAATAGTTATTTGTGCGTATGTGCAGGGAAATTAATGCTTCGTTTCTTTATTTTTACTAGTTATGCTGGGTGCTGAGGCTAGGGCCTTCTGCATGCTAGGCATGAGCTTTCTCCCCAAGCTGCTCTAGCCCCTGGACTCACTTCGGTATCACGAATGAGTATGGATTAGGGTAATGTTTAGTTAAAAACAGGGTGCAGATTAAAACAAGGTGGACGGTATAAAACGGGGCAAGGCCAGCCATCAGGTGACCTGGGTTTTTACGCTCCTTTTGTCTGTATGGAAGAATTTTTTGGGATAAGATCTTAGTAGTTGGGTGGGTGGCAGCACGGTTGAGTCCACAGTGACTCCCTCCTTTAGAGGTGAGCCATAACATATGCAACATTGGTCCCACTTCCGTATCAGCTGGGAAACACTTTTCCTTATTTGTTTGTGTTACTTGTAGTCACCCGATGTACAGGTGTCATCTGTCTTGCTATGAAACCGAGGCTCTATAGTAGTCTGAGTTACTCACAGTGGTATTTTAGAAGCTGTTGATTTGAAATTTGAACACTTTGTAAGATTATTAAGTACAGAGTGATGGGCAGGCTTCGGGACGGGAAAGTCTGCAGGTTTCCAGAGGCTCTGGGCGGGGCAGGGGAAGCTCTGCACAAGTGTCTGCATCAGCAAACCCTACAGTAGTTTGTGGGTTGGATGGAACCCAGGTCTTTAGTACCATAAATGGAAAAGATTCTCCAAGTATTCCTCAGGGAAGATTTCCTGACTACTAGGGACATGCAGAGGGTGGTGTCACTTTCAGGGAAGCAATTGAGAAAGAGGCATTTCCTTTGCTAAGGGACAAAGGCTTGGCTCATTTGTTTTCATGAATGGAAATGAAAAATGAGAGTCTCAAGTGCAGACGTGGTTTGCATGTTACAGTGCACAAACTTGTGACTACCCACAACCTGGGACTAAATTCCTTCTGAATTTGTTTTCTCTGTGTTTCAAAAGCTCATGAATGGGATTAACTCTCCTCTCCTCTCCTCTTTCTTCCCATCTCTTCTCTCTCTTTCTTCTCTGAAGGATTTTGTTACTATGCTAGACAATACTAGTAAGTAGTCAAGGATTAAAAAAAAACAGCCAAAGATGTTCTAATCACTGATGAGTTTATAATTTATTATGCAAATGAGGTGACTTTCCTTCCTGAATTTTAGTTTGAAAAATTTCAGGCATACAAAGACATCACAAAATAATAGAACAAATACCATTTATTGAATTACTCATATCCTAGTGAGTAGGGAAGAGGCTAGAAAGCCCATTTGGGCACCATCTGGAAGACATGGTAGCACTTATGTAGATGTGTGTACTTTGTCCCTCAGAAGGACAAGCTGAAAGACTTAGGGAGAAAATGTCATAATGCCTGCAACTTGATTTTACATGAATTTAAAATATATCTATCTTGGGCTAGCAAGATGGCTCACCAAGTAAAGTCACCATCAAGCCCTATGACCTGAGCTTAATTTCCAGAACACATGGTGACAGGAGAGAGCTGATTCCTGTAAATTGTCCTCTGACCTCCATATGAATACCAGGCACTGATCTTGGACATTATATATACACACACACACTCACACACATTCATACACATACACACACTATACATACACACTCACACACATTCATACACATACACACACACTATACACACACTCACACACATTCATACACACACACTCACACACATTCATACACACACACTCACACACATTCATACACATACACACACACTATACATACACACTCACACACATTCATACACATACACACACTATACATACACACACTCACACACATTCATACACATACACACACTATACACACCCACACTCACACACATTCACACACACACTATACACACATACTCACACACATTCATACACACACTCACACACATTCATACACACACTATACACACATACTCACACACATTCATACACATACACACACTATACATACACACACACTCACACACACATTCATACACATACACACACTATACACACACTATATACACACACTCACACACATTCATACACACACTCACACACACACTCACACACACACTCACACACATTCATACACATACACACACTATACACACATTCATACACACACACTCACACACATTCATACACATACACACACACTATACATACACACTCACACACATTCATACACATACACACACTATACATACACACACTCACACACATTCATACACATACACACACTATACACACCCACACTCACACACATTCACACACACACTATACACACATACTCACACACATTCATACACACACTCACACACATTCATACACATACACACACTATACACACACTATATACACACACTCACACACATTCATACACACACTCACACACACACTCACACACACACTCACACACATTCATACACATACACACACTATACACACCCACACTCACACACATTCACACACACACTATACACACATACTCACACACATTCATACACACACTCACACACATTCATACACACACTATACACACATACTCACACACATTCATACACATACACACACTATACATACACACACACTCACACACACATTCATACACATACACACACTATATACACACACTCACACACATTCATACACACACTCACACACACACTCACACACATTCATACACATACACACATTATACACACCCACACTCGCACACATTCACACACACACTATACACACATACTCACACACATTCATACACACACTCACACACATTCATACACATACACACACTATACACACCCACACTCACACACATTCACACACACACTATACACACATACTCACACACATTCATACACACACTCACACACATTCATACACACACACACTATATACACATACTCACACACATTCATACACATACACACACTATACATACACACACACTCACACACACACATTCATACACACACACACACACACAGGTTAAGAATGTTTGCTGCCCTTGTGGAAAACTTGAGTTCATATCCCAGTATCCATATCAGGCAGCTCACAAATGCCTGTACTCCAGTTCCAGAGATTCCATGCCTTCTTCTGCTCTCCGAGGGAGTGCCCACACAGTGCCCATACATCGACACCCATCAATAGAAATTTAAAAAATTAAGTTTTAAAAAGATAAAAGTCAAGAGTAAAGAACCAAAGCCACAGTCCATAACACACCCTTGGAACAATGGCGATCCCACCTATGGTGTTCTGTTCTCAAACTTGTGAGCTTGAATTTCTTCCTGCAGTCCTAGAGTATGGGTTAATACACACATGACTTCTGAACCACTAGGAATTAGGAAACCAAACTAACTCTGGGAACTTTAAATGTTAATAGAAGACACCCTTTTCTCAGGCCGAGCTTTTATTTGTCTTTTAGCCCCAGGCTGTCATTGGGGTGGGTACTCAATTAGGAGTTTGCCAACAGCTTGCTTTCAGGGCTTCACAGGATGTTACTGTAATGGGTATGTGAGTAATGAAGGAGCTTTGACTCAGGCAGGGCTGAAGCTTCAGTACTTGCCGTTTAGTCAAATGAATTAAAACACTGAGAGAAACAATTAAGAGGAAATAGTCTTCCCTACA